ATGGTTTACCTGGCAGCATCTGCAAGTTGCGTTCTCCAGCAAGAATTCTTGCAGCTCTCTCTGGAGTGATTCCAGGTCGCAACAATACTTGCGATAGGTCGAAATCAACGGATAGAAGACGAGAATCATGATCAAGGGCTGGAAGAGATAGAAGTAATCGTTGTTCTTCTCCGGAACAGAACCGAAGCCACACACGACGGTAGAAATTGACAGGGGCAACAGTAGGTGCGTTGGACCGAGCAGGGTGGGTCGTATTGTGAGTTGGGGCTTCTTGTTGGAGGTGCGGCTGTGCAAGAATGCTGATAGCTCGAAGACACACCATATGCGACGACCTGGGTTCTTGATGGGGAGCTTAGCTTAAGATGCCACAGAGGGAAACCACACTTTTACTATAGATCCCTGTTTTCCCGAGTATGGTAACTTAAACTAAACTAAATTCCAAACAATACCCCAGCGACTGTATGTCGGATCCCAGAGCACCAGCAATGACTCGGAGCATGCCAAAATGGCGCCGATGCTGACAAGCCCGTCAAGCTTGCGCTTGGGGTTCACTTGATCGATGCAGAGGATGTCCAAGAAGATGGCCCTGGGCCATACATCAATGAATCGAGCCCTACGAGCTTGTGCTTTCAAGCAAACACCCGGACAGTTTGTGTAGTCGTTGGGTTGGGGTAGAGTACTAGCCTTAAGCCTTGAGTCCTCAAGACTAGACATTGGAATGGGTGCAATGCCTACTAAACGCCAATCCCTACATCGAGCTCCGGAAAGGTGGAACATGGGTGGAGGATGGTAAGTGCTGGGATTGCCATCTGGGATTGATTGCCTGCTTTGTGCAGGAATCAGCATCAGGATGCTTCAACTCTGAAACCTTACGCCCCAAACCCTAAAGCCCTCAGCACCACACCCTATATTCAGAAACTTGAGACCTCCGCGGCCGCCATAAGAACAAGGGGTGAGCCAGAAGAGCAGGAAGCCCACCATCGAGACGTAGAATGTCCTCGGTTTCCAGCAGCCACTATGGGCTATTAGACCCTAAAGATCCCTACTAGGACCCTATTAAGGGTAGATTAAGGTACCCATAAGGTCTAATGGCCCATAGTGGAGTGCGGGAAGGGAACTGGACTCCAAGTTCTCTAAACTCTGACTCTCAGCGCGGGCAGGGCCTACGTTCTACTGAATTCTCAAACCTCAGCCGTGTCCTCGGGTTCCACCAGTGGAGGTCAGGATTCATCATCAGCGGAAGAGTTTCGGTGGCAATAAGCAAACCCGTGACAACGCTCCCAGCGATCGCGACAAGGAAGGCGGGCAAGGAGTTGTGCAGGTAGATGAGGGTTGCAACCTTGCGCCACTTGCTCCCTTGCCAGCTGTGGCTCCAAAATTCATGGATCCTTGTTTCTCCAAGAGCAACAGTGGAACAAAGCTTCAGCAGGTAGGAGGAATCCAACAAGCTGCCAAGGGTGCGGTGACTTAGAGGGCCCAGCCAGCGATGATAATAGTTTCCCCAAAACTTTGGGGAGCTGTTCGGCTGTAACATACCCCTAAACCCATATAGATCCCTTTATAAAGGAACCCTTATAGATCCCTTTGAAGGAACCTCATAGATCCCATTAAACGGAAACCCTTTAAATCCCTTCCCCCCAACCATAAGGCGCCTCAATTGGGCTTCTTATAAACCAACCTGCAAAGCCTTATGAAACACCAAACCGAAACCCAAAACCCTGAACCCCAAGCCATAAAGCCCCTGTACTATGGGATTCCCCAAGATCCATCCCAAGCTGGCTGTTCAGTAAACTCACGTGGAACAGGTATATCCTGTTTCGTTAATATCATGGTAGGAACAAAGGAAGCCAAAATCAATGAATGATTACCACGAACAACCTAGAATGCTCTCTTGTAGTGTAACCGGAATACCGGAAACACAAAATACAAACAACAGCAAACGCACACAAAGCTGGGTCTGTGTATACACATACACATATCTGTACATATCTACATATACATATACATATACAGTATACATCCACATCGTAGTTGCACATATACAGATAGGCAGATAGATAGAACAATAGATAAAGCAAACACAGGGATGCGCACACACACACACACACACATAAATATATATATATATATACCACCGAGTCATCAGGCGTGTACTGTAAAGAGAGGAAAAGAGGAATCAAACAGCACTGACATCTCCAATCCCAAGACAACACAAACAAACTACCTAGATCTTCTGGAGCAAGACTTCGCATCACTGAACAACCCACCCTCAATCCAAAACTGTGACCCACCCAGGGGCTTGTCTGTCTGCCAGCTCTTCTCAAAGAGCTTTGCTGAGCGAGCGGGGCGTCGAAGAGAGTAGCCGAAACCAGAGAGGGCACCTAGGTTCCCTTCCAACAAGGTTTTGCAGAGGTCTTTAAGAATCAAGCGGTCTTTCTAGGGCTTTACAAGGGATTACAAGAGGGCTTTTCACATGGCCTTTGACTGGGCCTTGTGATAGTGTCTGTAACGGGTCTCGATATTGTCCAAAGCAGGTTGCTGAAGGAATCTTGTCGTATCGTCATCCGAAGCAGCCCTTAGGACAGGGTATCGGGTTGCTCCTTGCAAAGCTCTATAGCACTGATAAATCCCACATCGAACCGATAAAAACCACAATGAAGCCAGAGAGGGCACTGTAGGCATGCGCAGCACGGATAACCTCTGGCGAGAACGCTTTCATCTGCCCGATAACTTGTGCTGCCAGCTCCTCTTGCTCGGTACTACTGTTGATGATATAAATCCTGCACTACCCATAATAAGGAATATACCATAATCCCCATAGTTTAGGGTCCTCAAGGTAACGCCGGATTTACATTAACAGCCGTACTTTTTGGATGCAAGTGCGGAATGCATCAAGCACGCCGCGAACACCCCAGCTCTACTCAACAATCACAGTGGTGCAGACCCCATAATGGGAAGGGCAGAAGGGTACTTGGAGGGTCGGGGGACTTAGTAACTGGTTATTTTAGGGACTTATAGGTACCGTAACCCCAATTAGGGTCCCTTTTAGGGTACTTCTAAGTCTACTTACTACCTACTTACTAAGTCCCCCGACCCTCCAAGTACTACTGGGGAATCTCGACTTCGAGGATGCATACAAAGGTGGTCTTCGAATCTAAATCAAGCCTTACAGTAGAAGCCAGAAAGTTGGAATATGATTATCCTAACCCTTCTATGGTAAATTATAGGGTATCCTACCATGAAACCATATTCCAACTTTCTGGAGTTCCCTTTATGTCTGGCCTGTTGCATTTTCTGGCTACATGGCTGATGGACTTATTGTAGCCAAAAACATGATCCTCTCCCTGTGATGAAGTTTCGCGGCTCTGACAAGTATTTACGAAATTGTATGTCTGCAGAAACCATAACAGAATTCAAAAGCTTCCCAGAGTGCCACCTAGCTCCTCTTGGTCATCCAGCCTGGCGGGACCCTTCGACATTGCACAAGAAGGCTTGGCACTCACCGCAGACCCAAGGGGCGAACCTTTATTGAAAGCATCTAGTTAATCTACAGGTATTCTGGTTCATAGTGGTATAGGCAATATAGTCTTGTAAGAATCGGAGTTACAGAATATTCAGAACCCTGGTGCTATTATATCCCGAAACCTTGCTCTAACGCAGAAATGTTGAGGCTCTTGGGCCGCGCAGCTGCTGCCTCCAGATCATGTAGGGGCCTTAAAAACTAGAATAAGGCTTCTTTGCTTTTTTCGGGGGTCCTTATTCTAATTGTCGTCTAACATACACCCCAAAACCTATTCTATTTGTTAAGGCCCCCTATATTACATCACAGCCAGTGGGTTGTTGTCAAGCGCAGGTGTGAGTTTGGCTCGCGAGGGTGCAGAAGTATCGGGCTTGCGGTTCAAGTTTCGAGGGTTTAGCACTTGGGGGTTTCGGGGTTGAGCTAGGGGTTTTGGGGTTTAGAGGTGTAGAGATTAAGTAGGGTTTAATGTTTATGGGTTTAAAGGTTTGGGGTTTAGGCCTTAGAGAAGCAGGGTAGAGAGGGTTTACCTTGAGGCCCCAAAGTAATTCCTTTTGGGGGTTCATAAATAGAATCTTATGAGGTAACCCCAAAAAGGAACTACTATGGGACTACAGGGTTTACGGGAGGAGGTTCCATGCGCGACGATGCTAATTTTAAGGGATTGCCTAGCCACCCTCAACACATATCCGAAGTGGTCGCACTAGCTTACAGCTAAACCCACGAAAACCCCTACAAGTCCTACACCCGAAGGCCTAAGTTCCGAGAGCCTTTAAATGGCTAAACCCAAGAAATCCTCCCACACGTCGGCCTGTAAAACATCCTGAATAAGATTTGGCGGTTTCCCGATTGCAACTATAGTATAATATACTCCCAAGTCCCGATTCTATCTCGTTACTAAAGCCCCTATATAGATCCTTTATAGATCCTGAGTTTATAGGCGCCCCGACAACGGCAATGTTAGAAAGGTCCTTTGTCATAACACTCCTGAATCTTCAGATCCTCAATGTAAACATGCCCTGATGGCAAGATCTCGATGGCAATGTAGGAGCCTGATTGAGAAATCTTGGGCCTTTATTAGGGTTCCTTATATGAGTCGTACTATTTTGGGGTTATGGGCCCAGGGTTTCTTAATCAGGTTCCTACATCAAACATGCCCTGATGGCAAGACAGACCGTCACTGCAAGATCCATGTCATCGATATCCCTTCGACTCGTAAGATCTTCAGGGTTTGAGGTTTAGGGTTCAAAACCCCTAAAGCCTAAGATCCTTATTCCCAAGATCGAACCCTAAACCCTAAACCCTAAATCCTAAATCCTAAACCCTAAACCCTAAACCCTAAACCCTAAATCCTAAACCCTAAACCCTAAACCCTAAACCCTAAACCCTAAACCCTAAACCCTAAATCCTAAACCCTAAACCCTAAACCCTAAACCCTAAACCCTAAACCCTAAATCCTGAACCCTGGGGCCGAGTTCCAAGCCAGGGCCGGTGCATCATCTTCGGCTGTAGCCCTCAGTGGAAGTAAGGTCTTAAGTTTATCAAAGGGGAAAAGGAGGGACCCTTAGTGGGGACCCCTACCCTATAATGGGCTATATAATGGGTATATAATGGCTATATTAAGGGTATATACCTAAGGGTCCTTATTAAGGGTCCCTCCTTTTCCCCTTGGAGTTTAGGCTTCACCCTGTACCCAACTAGGGGTTCCTTTAAGGACTCCTTTAAGGGTTACTACAAGGGTTCTATAAGGGATCTTATAAGGGTTCTGTACCCTAAGGGTCCATGTACCCAAATAGTATACAGATTGGCCTTAAAGTAGTCCCTATATGGGTACCTTGGGGCCAGTGTATATAGTATTTGGGTACATGGACTTTTAGGGTTAGGAAATACCCATAGGCTCCATAGTAGTTCCTTTTTGGGGTTCATATTTAGAATTCTATAAGGTAATCCCAAAGAGGAACTACTATGGGGTCTATTATGGGTAGGGCTTAAAGGTCTCGGGTTCAGGGCAACCCTGTGAAACCCATAAACCTACCACAAACGACCAGGGCTCCCCAAAGAAGTATGGAGCCTAAACTGCCTCAACGCTTCACTGTCGATCCCTTTCCCTAAGGGTCCAAAGGACCCAATAATAAGGTACTTGGGATTAGGATAGTAGTTTTGTAGCTCTACGTTTGGGAGAGTATATGATTATTGGGTACTTGGACCCTTAAGGGTTTCTGATGCAGCACAATTCATTCCCTTTCCTGGTCTGCTGCCGCGCTGCTGAAGCACGCCAGTGATAAGCAGGTCCGTGTAAGCACAAGTGAGGCAAAGCATGTCGAAGTAGTTCCAGCCTGAGAATTTGCACCCGAGTCATGGCCAGGGTGCTTTCTGTGTTTTTGTTGTTGCACCGTTTTGCATGCGCCCCGTTTCACTGGTCCCTAAGGTTTTTTGGCTGTTCGCTACATACATCGGATAGCAGCCTTAATGATTAGAATAGTGGTTCTGGAGGGAGGCTATATGTAACGGTGGATATGTCTATCTATCTATCTATCTAGCTATCTATATATATATATATATATATATATATATTTGATTTCGAGGCATTCAGAGGTGTACGCAGCTCTAATTAGGTGCAATCCGCCCGCAAAGCGATGAAAGGCCTTGCGATAGGCAAATCCCAGAAATGGTTCGGTGCACAGACTCTCGCAACTGTACCGGAGAGCACCCGATCCCAAACCTCTTTGAGCTTCTCTGGGATAATGGACTGTAGATTTTCCGCCGCGGTAAGGGCTTCCCCGACATCACTGCACACAGAGTCCCTTACGTCCCACTCTATACACAGTGTTTCAGACATCGGCTCAGGGGTCTCGCAACGTCGCGAAGCATTGCTCGCGATCTCCTCCCACTGGATGGCAGCCACACGTTCTTGAAAGCCACGCAGCGTGAGGCTGCCCTCGTCCGTGTTTCGTCTTTGACCTTCAGCAACTGGCGGTAGAGGTTGCTCGAACGAGGCAAAGACCTGCTCGGTGGAGTGACGGTCCCATAGCTCCTCAGGGGCTCCACACTGGACCTCCTTGAGCTCGTCACGAATCTTCTCCACGATCATCTGTTCCTCCAAGTAGAAGAGGGGGAACTCCTTGAGGACTTCGACGATCGTCTTCATGACCTCCTCCGGGTCCTGCCACTGGTCTCGGTCGAAAAGCACGAAGCATAGGGCCTTATAGGCCGCCTTGGCTTCATCACTCCAGTCACTACCAGCCTCCACTTCATGGGGGTCGGCGGTTTGCTCCGTAGGCGCCAGAGTGAATTGCTCAACTTCAAGTTGCCTCCACCGCTTGCTGCCCAAGCCCGGCGCAATTTCAGGAGCGACAGCACCAAGCTGTTTGAGGGCTCGGACACATCTGGGTGTATCCCTCAGATGGATCGACAGCCTCGGCAGTGACCAAAACTCGGTGCCACATCCTCTGCAAAAGGTCCCTGCAGCGACCTTCCGATGGGTGGCGAGTCTCCGGTGTGTCTTGAAAAAGTGTGCTCCCAGGCCTCCCTTGGACGCGAAGCTCCTGTCACACTTCCGACACTGCCATTGCATAAGCCTCGCTCCGTCTGCGCCATCATCGCCCTTGGCCATACGAAACATCGCCCAGAGGACCAGGTTCACCTTATAGTGCTCGACGTCCTCCATATGGCGCTTTCTCAGCATCTGTTTGACACGCAGTTTGAATCGCGCCGGGTTTGCGCGGATTGCCGCCTCCCAGACTTTCCACGACTCATCAGCTCGAGGCCATTCCTCATCAAAACTGTTGAGGCTGGCAAGGTCACTTCTGACCTCCTGTAGCCAGGCTTTCTCGTGCTGGAGCTGTGCCCAGAGTACCGAAGGGCCGTTGAGGCTCATGGCACAGAGCAGCCCCAGCCTGCTCCTGGTCGCCACATACTTCAGCTCCCAACTGTTCGTAATGATGTGCACCAGCGGGATCGGGATCTTGTATAGTGCCTCGCCGTTGATCTCGGCCGCAAGGACACGTCTCAAACATCTTGAGTAGCCGCCACACAGTCGGTCCCAGGAGTCACCATGGGGCAGCCACAGTGACAAATTGAACAGCGTTGATCGCACACTGGCCTCGTCTAGCTGGACCCTGGTGGCTAACGGAATCGTCCTGTTTTGGAACAAAAGCTTGCGGCCCTGCTCAAAAGCATCTCCGAGTAGTGCAAGTCGGCGCCTGGCTTCCGCTTTGAGGTTCAACCGCAGGTCGAGTACCCCACCTAAGTGGGTATACTGTGGCGTGACCTGAACGGCTACGCCAAGGTCCTCGAGGAGAACTTCAGCCTTCTTGCCGTTCACTAAGCTCCTTTTGGCCCGTTGTGAGCCTGGACCACAGAGATGTACCAGGATCGCCGTCTTCCCCGGTTTCAAGTTGGGAGCCAGCCCGAACTCCTCCAGGGTGGCCAAAGCAATGGACGTGAGTCGCTTGATCTTGAAGGCCAAACGCTCTGGCTTCTCATCGTCCACCGGGATTGCTGAGTCGTCAGCCCACGTGGAGTCTCTGACCAGACAACCCTCCACAGGCCAGTCTGCCGAGAAAGCTTGCTGGTCGGACTCCACGACCAGGGTCGTCAATAGATCCTCTCCATCAGCCCTTTCGATGATGGTTCCCATCGTTCTGGCATAGATGTAGGAGAAGATCGCATCGGCCCAGCTTTCACCAGGACGTGACCCGGTCGCCGTCATGGCAACCGAGTCTCCGGAGGAGAAGGCAGACACACACCAAGTGTTGCGGTGAAAGTCCGCACAGGCAGCCTGGATCGCTGCCGAGTTCCCAGCCTCCTTCATCAAGCCTCCAGACTTCACCAGTTCAAGGATCGTGTGCATGTCAGCTGGGGCCATACCGAACTTGTCCAGCAGCCTGGCCACGTTCTCGTCTGATTCCAACGGACCCAGGGCTGCTTGTCGAATGACTCTATAATATGCAGCCGTTGTGTCAATGAACAGCGCTGCATAGCTCAGCTTGTGTCGCTGGCATCGCCGGATGTGTGCCACCAGGCTCATGGATGCATATCCAATTGGGGCTCCACGACGACTGCCAAGGTGCAGACCGTGAAGAACACTATGGAGAGCATCTTGTCCACGGCCCCTCATCAGCTTGTGGTATGCCTTGGCCAGGACACTGCTGACAAACAACGATCGGTGGTTGGCCGGCTGGTCGACTTCGCCAGCCCCCTTCCAGGCCGCGTGCAATATTCCTCCACGCCACTGCACCGGCTGAGACAATGTGGCGAGTGATTTGACCACCAACGGGTGCAAGATCTCCGCCATCCGTGCTGGCACCGCCCGGACAACTTCTCCCGGGATATTGTCTAACCCCATTGCCTTGCCCACAGGGGCACTTCTGACAACCTCCTCCGTCTCAGCCAAAGTCGGCAGGTCCGTGATCTTCCAATCCACGTCCACTCGGACCGCACCAGCCGTGGCCTCTCGATGGAGGTATTCCTTCGTGTTCATCACTTGACCACATTCTTGGTTGCTGAAGTGGTTGAGCCACACTTTGTCCCGCTGTTCGCGACTTTCGGCGACACTCCCATCCTCAGTCATCAGTCTTGGCAAGGGTCGTTTTCGGACCATATTCTTTTTCCCCCCAAGGCCATGTGAACGGACTCGATGAAGAATCTGGCCGACATTCTGGACGCCATCTCCAACAATCCCTTGTAGGAATTGGTGCTTGTCCGCGTAGACCTGTTGCTTGATTCGCACCGAGACCATGGTGACCGCTGAGGCAACGAGCTGGTAGATTGTCTGGTGCTTGCAGACAGCCTGGGCGCTAAATGGCACACCACGTGCCCACCAACGGAAGGCACAGGCTTGGGCTTCAGACCACATTTTTCGTCGATGCCTTGATGCCGCCTTGATGTGCAGCTTCGCTGCACGCCATTCCCACACAACAGGGGAGATATAGGATGCTCGCATTCCACCAGCCGGCACCACAAAGTGGGTCTCCATGATCTGCTTCAGGTAATCCTGGAGGTGCTGGCAGTGCTGGTTGACATCAACTGACCATTCCGGGACCCGGTATTTCGCCAGCTCCGCCGCGATGATGGCTTTCCCCTCGTCGGAGCACATTTTCTGCCTATCATACTTTGGCCGGAGCAATTTGCTCGTATATATATATTCATATTTATTCATGTATAGTCATGGAGTCTATTGAATAGTAAGTATCACAAACTCTTCCGGCTTCTATACTAACTCATGAACAGCTCACCGAAGCCCTCTATACCCAACACCTCAAAGTCTTGCAACACCCAGGAGGCCCCGCCACCCTAAACCCTAAACCCCGAAACCATCAACCCCCCAGGCCCTAAACCCTAAACCCCTAAACCCCTACACCCCTCAGCCCTATCTAAAGCTTATCTTCTTCTCTCCAAAAGCCCTTGAAGTGGCGGTCCAAAGCCTAAGCCTTGAAGATCAAAAACGCTCGAATGTATCCTTATAAGGGTCCATCTTTAAATGGGGTTCCCTTAAGCGTGACTATAAGGGTTCTATAAGGGCAATACAGGGTTTAGTTTAAGGGTTCATGTACCCAGATAGTATATACTTTGGCCTTAAAGTAGTGCCTATATATACGTACCGTGGGGCCTAAGTATCTACTATTGGGGTACATGGACCCTCTGAAATTCGAACAGGGTGCTATAGGGTTGAAGGGTTTCTTCACAAGTTCAGGCGTGAGGGGTTTAGGATTTTATACGGCTTAATGTATAGCGGACATGATAGCGAGCAAAAGGGCTTGGCGGAATATTATGCGATAATGATAAAAGAAGGAACCCTCAAGGAAGTGCCAAGATCATGGTAGACTGGAGTCGCAGCAAAAACGCTAGCTTCCACCCTCGGTGCTGCTAGTGTTGGTCATTACTTAAAGCCCCTTCCTCCGCCCCTAAACCCTAAAACCCAAAGAGCGCTAAACCGCCCCAAGGGAACTAATCCGCCCCAAAACCCGCATCAGCACCGAAGCCGAAGCCCAGGGCTCAACCCGCAAATCCACAGACCACTGTGAAATGTGGTGCAGTTGCCCTAAGGGTCCATGTAATCATATAGTATGTACATGGGCCCCAAAGTACCTATAGAGGGACTACATTAAGGCCAATGTATATACTATATGAATACATGGACCCTTAGGGTTGTGAAACCGGTTTAGAAGCCTTTGAAGACACCCCGCAAAACGCTCACATGAAAACAGCCAACAACCTGTATACACCCTCAACCGCGCAACCCATGAAGACCCGAGTATCAAGCTCAAAGCCTAAAGCCTCAACCCTATACCCTAAACCCCAAAACAACAACAAGCATTGCCTGCATCGGGTCCTGTGAGGTAGGTCCTGCACCCTGTCCATCGCGCCCTCACGCGGTTTAGGGTTCATAATGTCGAAAAGGGATTTAGAGGGTATTATTGGAGATTAGAAGGGTTTGAGAAGGGCTGTTCACGATTTAACAGAGGGCTACTTTTGGGGTGACCGTAAGGGTACTATGTTATAGGGGTTCCTTCAAAAGGCTTCTATAAGGGCTCCTTGTAAGGGCTTGAGTAAGGTATTGCAGGGTTTGCTTTTCTAAGGGGTTGGTGAAGGGTTTTTATGGGTTTTGTAGAGGTTCATACGCTTCCTACAGGGTCTTCATGGAATTCCACGGGGTTTTGTAAGTTTTCTATGGTCGCATAGGGCTGTACTTTGTTCCGTTTTATATCTGATGTGGGATTCTAGAATTACTCTGGGTTCATACTAAGTCCCTGTCGAATACCCACCACGTAGTAGTCGCAATAGGATGCAAACGGAAAGAATGTAGGCTTCTTTCTCAAGATTCATGGCATTTTACTGAATTGAGCGGCGTTGAGATCTCAGGGAAGCGCGCAGCACACAGAAGGCAAATGCCATCAGCGATCTGGCGACGTCACTTGGGAGTAGAAAGCTTATTGTTACTAAGCCTCCTATATAAAAGCACCCTTCTAGATCCCTGATAGTAGCCCTTCTAGACCCCTTCCTACTACCCCAATAAGCCGCAGAAATACTTAAGGTTTAACTTTCCGATTCCTTCTAAACTATATGAGCGCAAGAAGGTTTAAAGGTTAGGTATTGGGGATCTAAGAAAGTGGCCTGAAAGACTATTTGCCTTGGGTTGTTGGGTTGGGGGTGTCATAAGGTGTTGGGGTGTTGGGGCTCTGAGCCAAATTAGGCTTGTTGCCTTTTTGAGGGTTTCGGGTAATGCTCAGATTCCATCAACCCTAAACCCTAAACCCCTAAACCCTAAACCCCTAAACCCTAAACCTCTTTCAAGCCTCCTTGAGGACCCCAAAACCCTAAGCCCGGGTTTCAAAAAACAAAAACTTCAAATCCCAAAGCTTTGTCAAAATCCTCAATCTCCTAAGCCCCTGCAAAGCCTCGAAGTTGCCCTGCAACGAAGCTTAAACCCTAGAGCCTGAAGACCATCAAATCACGACCACTGCCCAAAACGTAACTAAACCTCAAACTAAACCATGCCAAAGTCTAAATCCTTTCTGAACCCCTCGCAGCCCTTCCGAACCGACAAAAAACGGACACCAAGAGCTTCGAACCATCAACGCTAGCAGCCACACTGCCCTTCTTGCATCCTAAAGGTAGGGAGTGTAGCTATGTACTCAGATATATATATATATATATATATATGCAACAATTAATTAAGTATATATATATATATATGTACATAATTCTACATAGAATACTGTATCATTCAGGGCCGTCTCATTGGGCTCTGTGCCGTTCTTTGCAGGCCATTGAAACACCCGCCTGAGGATGGCTTCGAGGGAGAAGATGAGCGTAAAGATCAGCTCCAAGACCTGGCAGCACGGGGCCCTCAAAATTGGAACTGGGGTTTTGGGGGACTTTTTTGTCCGCAGAATGTAAAATTTAGCAATAGCAAGAGGCATGATTTGGTCCAGCATTTAGCATAATTAGCAAGGCACCGTCAAGGAATTATGTGTCATTCTGGGAATGCTGCTGTGGCTTTATACGTTTATGTTAGCTTTCATTTAGGGTTTACGGATGATTTGGGCTGGTGTTGACTTGGAATTGGGTCTTAAGTTAAGGGCTTTATGGTTCGAACTTGAGCTCTGAGCATTGGTGCTACTAGACTCCTACTACTGTTGCAGAATTACACCAAACTGCCACACGAACAAGACTGCCTCCTGCAAAGGCCAGGCCCAGTCAGTTTTAGCATTTAAACCTAATATAGGAAAACCCACAGTGTAAGTTTTCCTGTTTGAAGCAAAAACAATGGTAATTGTTGCCCAGCAGCCCCTTGTCCATTCCTCAAGCTAGAAAGAAAGGAACCCCAAACATAACAAAAAGGTAAGAATGCGACTCTGGGAATACCTCTGTATGCCCTGTATAAAACCTGGAACAAAACTACAACGGACCCTCACACTCAGCTTTCGGATGAAGCCCAACGTGCCTGCCAACCGGAGGCCTTAGATCTGCATCACGGATCGATGGGCTACTCTTGAAACTGCGTGTCCAGGGTTTGGGGCTTCGGTGCTTTTGTGTACAAGACTTATGAATTCCCTTAGGGACTGAGAAGGATCAAACAAGGGTTTAGGGGATTCGGCGTTCGGAAGCATCTTCTAAGAGACTGTCCTTGTCTTGTTCCTCTCACGATCATAGATTGGGCCATGGCAGCTAGATGTGTTGATGCTGCCGGTACAGGTATCCCTAATCCTTAATCGCACAATTGACCCTAACCAACACGCTTCTGAAGCCCCAGAATCCTACAAGCACTCCCACCCCAACAGTGAACAGAGAAGCCCTGCCAAACCCTCGCGCGACCCCACGTAAACGATCGGAGAACCCAGAGCCAGGCCTAACTCACCATAAACTCAGCCTACAGATTTGCGGGGTCTAAGTATATACCATAATGATACTTGGACCCTTTGGGATTATTCCAGGCCCATTTTTCCATACCCTAAACCCTAAACCCTAACCCCTAAATCCAGGCAGAAAAGGAACGTCTGGATTGTCATCCGCACTAATTCCGATGACTGCAGCATTCGCGAGGATGACGAAGGCAGGCCTCAGCACTTTGGGTCCTTGCACAAACAGTACCTGGACCCTAAGGAACCTGCCTTTTTAGGGCTCCTTAATATGATTTCTTTTTATAAGTCCTGAAAAGGTAGGTTACTTGGGGTTAAGGTAGAGTCCATGTTATATGATAAGGATTCGAATTATGCATTTCTATACGAATCCTTATTAGGGGCGCGGTAGAGGGTTGCAATGAGCCGCACACATACCCCACGTAGTGCTCGTGACACCCTCTCTTGAACGGAAAGTTCTATGCTAAGTCATCCAAGGCCTACGTACCTATGCTTAGAATCCTTTTTGGGGTTTACGGGTTTACCCAATCTTACAGCCAGAAACTGGTCGATCAAACAAAGGACTACACTGGAGACTACCGGCACCTAAGTCCTAATCCTGTACGGTACAGTCTTCAAACCTGCAAATAACGAAGCCCCAAACCAGCAACTCTAAGCCCCCATACAGAAAGCCTATGGTCAACCCTTGCTCTAACAAAAATAACGAACAAGCCCCTCATGAACGTAACAGACTTGGACCAAAACAGTCTTTACCCAAAAGAAGTCAAAGCGGCGCCACTTCAAGCACAAAGGTCTGGTAGTCCACCGGCAGATTCTGCGCAGGAGAGTTGGGTTGCTTTGCAGGCTTAACGACTTGTTGTTTTCGCAAAGGGCTCGGACCCTAAACCCCATTAATAGACCCTAAACCTTAAACCCAAGTAAAGGATCGTTTTCGACATAGCCTCAAAACCTAAAGAACCAGAGCTGAACGGAACCCTAAACCCTTACCTTGAAGAAACCCCTCAAAGAAACCTTTTAGGGCCCCTATATACGCCCTTGATTAAAGGACCCCTCTTTTGTTCGTGCCCTTTGTTTTAATTTGATGAGAAAAAGCGCGCATTCGTTTCCCTTCATTTGTCTTTTTCTCTTTAAATTAAGCACAAAGGACCCAGTCGGTAAGGTTAGTTGTTTTGTGTAGTGTGGAATGAAGAAAGAAGGGAAAGACAACGAAAGAAGGAACGAACACTGGATTTTG